TCCTGTGATGGAATTTATAAACGCACATGTAATAATTTTAGATCAAATTTAAGTGTAAAATATTTTATTATATGATAATATGTATTCTTCAATAATAATAATGAATTAATGTAATAATATTACGATAAATGAGAGTCATTTTATAAATAACACAAATACAATTGGTACTGGAGGATCTATTTATGCTACTGATAATTAATTTATTTAAATAAAAAATACAGTATTTAAACAAAATTAATGCTAATTATAAAATGGAGGAGCTTTAAGTATAAAGAATAATATTGAAATGGCTAGTCTAACTATAAAAAAGAGTGCTTTTATAGATAATTAGGCTTTATTATCTACAGGTGGAGCTATCAATTTGGTAAATTCCAATTTAATGATGGAAAATTCTGTAGTTTCTTCAAATTAGGCTTTAATTGGTGGTGGAATCTATTATTAATAAATAATTCCTGATTTTGTATTAGATTTGACAAATAAAATCATTAATAATAACATCATCTCTTAAAATTTCGCAAAGTTATATGGAAATAATTTAGGATCTACATTGAGAAGTATTAAGATTAATTTAAATGATATAGAAACATCTTCTGTTTTTATTAGATGTTCCATTTACTTTTAATTTTCTATTCCTAAAGAGGTTGGACTCACTTAATTAGTCTATGCTATATTTTCAGACATCTATGAAGAAGCTCTTGATTAAGAACGAAATCTTCTTCCATGATTTTTATATTAAGATTTAGAGTTATAAACCTTGTACTCTGTCAATAAAAATGAAGAATCAGGTTCAGTGGAGTGGTTTTAATTTTCGTTTAATTTTGTGATTTTGTATTAATCATTTGGCTCTGTTTGGCACATTGAGTCAGCAGAATCTTTTTATCTATAAGAAGATTTGGTGGAATAATTTTAGTTATAAGTTGAAAGCTTGACACCTGTATCTTATAGCGACTCTATAGGCTTTGAAGATGCAATATTACTAGAAATAGATTTAGGAGTATTAATTTAATTTTAAGCGATTTAAGGAACTTCCTCGAATTAAAATATTTCAGGCAGCTTGTTGCTATTCTCAGTTTGAATCTCATAAGAATCACTATTAAGTCTTGACTTTATGCTTTACTTTTTAGATCCTCTTATTGGCTATCCCAATTAGGAATTAGTTCTTTTATTTGTCACAGAAGAGGCCCTTTATCTTTTATCATTACCATCATACCTTCCTTTATTTAGCAGCTTATTATTTTACACTGCAGTTTAAGGAGTTAGTTTATACGTGTTTAAATCCAGTTTGTATATACTTGATTTAAA